GTGGAACTGCTGGTCTCGCTGGTGACCGACGTGGAGGTGCTTGTCTCGCTGGTGACCGGTGAAAATGTATCGGTCTCGCTAGTTGCGGTCACGCTGGAGGTTGACGTAGTTGTGCCAGTGTCGGTGGGGAAGACCATCGTTGCCCTGGTGGCGCTGCTGGTCGTCGTGCGCGTGGTGACGGTCTTGCTGGTGAACGACGAAGACGCGCCAGTCTCGCTCGTGGCCGACGTGAAGATAGCGGTCTTGCTGGTGCCAATCGCGCTGGAAGTCGACGTGGCCGTGCTCCCAGTGGTGGAGCTTCTCACAGGAGTCCGGGTGGCGCTGTTGGTCACCGTGAGCGTGGTGACGGTCGCGCTTGTCGGCGCGGTTGTCCCCATTACGGCGTCGATCCAGTCACGCACGTAGTTCACACGGGACCAGACTCCGGGATACAGCGCCGAGGCACACCCGTAACCCCATGAAGTGGCACCGTGCAGTGCATAGGCACCGCTACCAGAAACGCAAACCAGCGGCCCGCCGCTGTCTCCCTGGCAGGCGTCGGTCACCTGCCCGGCGCTGTTGAGACCCTGCGCGCACAGCATGTCGTCGCTGATCATCCCGGTGCCGTAGGCCGTGTCGCAGTCCGAGTTGTTGACAATGGCAACCTTCGCCTCCTGCAGCAAGTCGGGGGAGGACCCGCCATGTGAGAGGGTCCCCCAGCCAGTGATGAAGCACTCGTCGCCACCATGCACGTCATCGCTTGGCAAGCAAGCCACGCCGATGCAATCATTCAGAGGTGCGGTGTCGGCCAGCTCCACCATGGTGAAATCGTACTCCAACGTGGAGGGGCTGAACAACGGGTGCGAATAAACCTGCTGAACCTGCAACACCGCCTCGGTCGCATCTGTGCTGTGCTGGCTGTGGCTGCCCGCCACGACGTAGAAGGAGCCCCCGCGCTGCACACAGTGCGCAGCCGTGAGAACCCACCCAGGAGCGACGAGGGTGCCGCCGCAGAAATGAGAGCCCGACAGCGTCGTGAGGGATACCTGCCACTTCCACTCGCAAGGTGTGGCGTCCTGTCCCCCCACGATGCGCTGGCCACGCGCGTGCCACGGAGTGCCGTCGGGACCTTTCGCACCACACAGGGGCGCTGACGTTGGAGGCGAAGTCGGTGTCGGCGAAGGAGTGCTGGCACCGTTGCTGCCATCGGCGTCTAAATCTGGCGCTGGCGCTGGTGCTGGCGGAGAGGCTGGAGTCGGTTGCGGGGTCAATCCCATCACGTCGTCGACCCAATCGCGAACGTAGTTCACACGGGACCACACTCCGGGGTACGTCGCCGAGGCGCATCCGTAGCCCCATGAGGTGGCGCCGTGCAGGGTATAAACACCCGTGCTGGAGCCGCAGACCAGCGGCCCGCCGCTGTCTCCCTGGCAGGCGTCGGTCACCTGCCCGGCGCTGTTGAGACCCTGCGCGCACAGCATGTCGTCGCTGATCATCCCGGTGCCGTAGGCCGTGTCGCAGTCCGAGTTGTTGACAATGGCAACCTTCGCCTCCTGCAGCAAGTCGGGGGAGGACCCGCCATGTGAGAGGGTCCCCCAGCCAGTGATGAAGCACTCGTCGCCACCATGCACGTCATCGCTTGGCAAGCAAGCCACGCCGATGCAATCATTCAGAGGTGCGGTGTCGGCCAGCTCCACCATGGTGAAATCGTACTCCAACGTGGAGGGGCTGAACAACGGGTGCGAATAAACCTGCTGAACCTGCAACACCGCCTCGGTCGCATCTGTGCTGTGCTGGCTGTGGCTGCCCGCCACGACGTAGAAGGAGCCCCCGCGCTGCACACAGTGCGCAGCCGTGAGAACCCACCCAGGAGCGACGAGGGTGCCGCCGCAGAAATGAGAGCCCGACAGCGTCGTGAGGGATACCTGCCACTTCCACTCGCAAGGTGTGGCGTCCTGCCCCCCCACGATGCGCTGGCCACGCGCGTGCCACGGAGTGCCGTCGGGACCTTTCGCACCACACAGGGGCGCTGACGTTGGAGGCGAAGTCGGTGTCGGCGAAGGAGTGCTGGCACCGTTGCTGCCATCGGCGTCTAAATCTGGCGCTGGCGCTGGCGCTGGCGGAGAGGCTGGAGTCGGTTGCGGGGTCAATCCCATCACGTCGTCGACCCAATCGCGAACGTAGTTCACACGGGACCACACTCCGGGGTACGTCGCCGAGGCGCATCCGTAGCCCCATGAGGTGGCGCCGTGCAGGGTATAAGCACCCGTGCTGGAGCCGCAGACCAGCGGACCGCCGCTGTCTCCCTGGCAGGCGTCGGTCACGTGCCCGGCGCTGTTGAGGCCAAACGCGCACACCATGTCGTCCTTGATGATTGCGCTGCCGAAGATCGCGTCACAGTCCGAGCTGCTGACAACGGTCACCCCCGCCTCCTGCAGCAGGTCGGGTGATGGGCCTCCGTGCGAGAGGGTGCCCCAGCCAGTGGTGAAGCACTCCTCGCCGCCAACGACGTCCTCGCTCGGCAAGCACGCCAGGCCGATGCAGTCACCCAGGGGTGCCGCGTCCGCCAACTCCACGAGAGCGAAGTCGTGGGCAAACGTGGCAGATTTGTAGAGCGGATGCACGTGCACTTGATGCACCTCCAGTCCCACCTGGGTCGAGTCTGCTGCAGATTGGCTGTGGAGACCCGCTATGACGGAGAAGGACCAGCCCATGCAGTGGGCGGCTGTCAGGACCCACGAATCGGCGATGAGCGTGCCTCCACAGAAATGCCCAAACGAAGGTGACGAGAGAGATACCTGCCACTTCCACTCGCAAGGCGTGGCGTCCTGCCCCCCCACGATGCGGTCGCCGTGCACTGTCCATGGAGTGTCGTCGGGACCCTTCACGCCGCACAATGGCGCTGGTGTCGGCGCAGAAGTAAGTATTGGAATAGGTGTTGGTGCTAGCGTAGGTTGAGGTGCGGGTGTCGGCATTTTCACACACAGTCTCCAGCCACCATGCTGAATGAAAAAATCAGACATCCAAAGAATGCTGCTTGTCGGGGTGATGCCGCTGGGACCGCTGGTTCCAGAATACGTCAATCCATTGACCGTGAGCGTGTCGAAGTAGGACTCCGTTGCGAAGCCCTCCACCACGAGAGGCGCCGCTTGCTCCAAGTTGATCTCCAAGATGCACATCTGGTCCGGGTCGTAATCCTGTGGGTAGTTGGGGCTCTCCACGCACGCGCCGTCCAATGTGCACTCGCCGACGATTTCCGCCCACATGTACGCCAGGGCTGGCGCAGGCGGAGGCGCTGGCGTGGGGGGGGGCGCTGGCGACGGCGGAGGTGCGGGCGTCGGCTGCGGAGCCATTCCCATCATCTCGTCGAGCCAGTCGCGAACGTAGTTCACACGGGACCACACGCCTGGGTACGCCGCCGAGGCGCACCCGTAGCCCCACGAGGTGACGCCGTGCAGGGTATAAGCACCGGCTCCAGAGCCGCAGACCAGCGGACCGCCGCTGTCTCCCTGGCAGGCGTCGGTCACCTGCCCCGCGCTGTTCAGGCCCTGCGCGCACACCATGCCGTCGCTGATCATCCCGTTGCCATAAGCAGCGTCGCAGTCCGGGTTGCTGACGATGGCCACCTCCGCCTCCTGCAGCAGGTCGGACAAGGAGCCCCCAGAGGAGAGGGCCCCCCAGCCAGTGATGAAGCACTCCTCGCCACCGACCACGTCCTCGCTCGGCAGGCATGCCAGGCCGATGCAGTCACCCAGGGGCGCAACGTCGGCCAACTCCACTAAAGCGAAGTCGAAAGAAAACGTCGACGAGTTAAACAATGGATGCACGTGCACCTGGTGCACCTCCAGCCCCACCTGGGCCGAATCTGCTGCAGACTGGCGGTGGAGGCCCGCCACGACCGAGAAAGGCCAGTCCGTGCAGTGGGCGGCTGTCAGGACCCACGATTCGGCGATGAGCGTGCCTCCACAGACGTGCATCGGAAAGGCCCCGAGCGACGGTGACGAGAGAGAGACCTGCCACTTCCACTCGCAGAGTGTGGCGTCCTGCCCCCCCACGATGCGCCCGCCGCGCCCCCATGGAGTGTCGTCCGGACCCTTCGCGCCGCACAGCGCTGGCGTCGGCGTCGGCAGTGCCAGTGGAGGCGCCGGCCCGAGCCGCCCCACGACCGCGCCGACGGCCTCGAGCAGGTCCTGGCCCGCCGGCAGGATCCCGGAGGCGGGCGGGAAGAAGCCGCCGGCCTCCCAGGTGCCGGGCGGCAGCTCGAGGGTGTAGCCGTAGGCGCCCAGCGCGGTGGAGTAGTCCGGCATGATGCCGGAGGCGAGGTAGAGGGCGCCTCCCGCGTCGCCCGTGGCGTAGAGGTACGTCTGGCCAGTGGCGTTCTCGATGGCGCTCTGGATCTCGAGCCCCACGGCGTCGATGGTTGCCTTGTCTGGGTGGTCGGCGTTCGTGTGGCCCCAGGGTCCCAGGATCATTTGACCATAGGAGTGGAGATCCAAGTGGAGGTGCAGCGGGGCCTCCTCTAGCAGTGCCTTGAGGGCCTGTGTCTCGGGCTCCGAGTGCGCCGAAGGGCCAACATAGCGATGCGAGCACTCGCTGGTGCTCGTGGACTGGCCGCCACTCCAGTCCGTGCCCCAATTTCGGTTGAGGTCAACGCCTATGCATGAGGAGCCGGACAACGGGTTCCGGTTTTTCCGCCACATGGCGTCCACCGTCAACGAATACTCGTACCCATCGGGGTTCGAGACCGGCACGATGACGAGCTCCATTCCGGCCAGCCAGCCCGGGTCGGCTGCCTTCGAACCCAAACACGCGACGTCCTGATTTTTTCACGGCGGCGTCCCCGGAAGTCCCGACCCTTTCCCCGGTGCCGGTTTGTCATCCTGAATCGTTTTTTGACGGTCCCGGGGGCCGGCGAGGGCCCCCCGGGGCCGAAAATAGCGAACAACCTCCGTCCTGATTTTTGAACGACGCGATCATGTCTGGGAAGCGGGGCGCGTTGAAATAGCGGCAGCTCAACATCGGCCCTCGGACACCTCCCGGGGTCCCAAGACAGACCAGTCTTCCGAGCCGCGTCCGGACTTGGCGACGAGGGAGTCCCCCGAAGGACAACGGCCGCTGTCTCGACTCGCCCTGCTCGGATGCCTTCCTCGCGACGCACTGCTCCGCCAAGAACGTGCCCACCATCGCGGCGATCCACTCCCGGGCGTGCAGCAGAGAGTTCACCACGATCCTGAGAGGAAGAAAAACGGCATGAACATAAACTGTTGGCGCTCTGCGCGGATTTCTTGGATCTGCGCCAGACCCCCCCCTGGCGCGCTCCGGCGCTGGAGGCGCCGCCAGGGGGCCCAGGCGCGGATCCAAGAAATCCGCGCGGAGCGCCAGAAGGTTTGTGTTCAGGTCGGGCAGGCGGACTTTGGAAGAACAATGAAACATACCCCCCCAAATGGATGGAAAAATTGCCAAAGCAGAATCGAAAAATCGTTTCCCAACGATCTTTTGACTGCTCCTGGATCTTCCTCCTGTAGAAGGACAGGCCCGACCTTATGCTGATAGCGTTTTTTCTGCTTCAGCTCCTGGGCGCGCCCGGCGCCCACGCGGCGTCGCGGATCCGCACCGCGCGGAGGTGGCGGCCCTCGGGCGTGGCCGGGGTGAGCAGCTCCAGCGTGGCGACGCCGCTCGCGCCGCCCACGATGGCTTCCAGCCGCTCCTGGGGAGACCAAATCTCCTCCTCCTACATCTCTCCTTCTCCCCCTCCTCCGCCTCCTTGCTCCTCCTCCTCCTCCTCCTCCTCCTCCTCCTCCTCCTCCTCCTGCTCCTCCTGCTCCTCCCCCTCCTCCTCCTCCTCCTGCTACTACCCCTCCTCTCGCTCTTCTGCCCCCTCCTTTCTCGCTCTTTTCACTTCCTCCCCTCTCTCCCCCTCTCTCCCCCTCCTCCCCCTCCTCCCCCTCCTCCTTGCTCCTCCTCCTCCTCGCTCCCTCCTCCTCCTCCTCACCTCGCTCCCTCCTCTCCTCGCTCCCTCCTCGCTCCCTCCTCGCTCCCTCCTCGCTCCCTCCTCGCCCCCCCTCTGGTGCACGGCTGTCGGGGCGGGCGCGGGTGGGCGAGCCCGGGGCACGCAGGCCGCCATCTGTCGCACGGCATCGCAGCGGCCGGGGCAGGCCGCGCCCCGAAGGGTCCACCCTGGCCTCAGGCCGCTCTGTCGGCGGCGAGCGAGGGGAGTTTCGGGCTCGAGGCTCGAGGTTCGAGGTTGTCGGACGTTTTCGTTGGTTCTCGGCGGTTTTCCAGCCTCGGAATGCTTGCCAGCAGCTGCGCCTCGCCGAGGGCGTTCCGGGGGTGCCCGGATCGTCCCGAACGGCCGCTGGAGACCCGACTTACGACCCTCAAGCCAACTTCGGCGGCGAGCGAGTGGGGGGGAAGCGAGAAGGAGAAGGCCTTCTCAGGAGGCGGCGGGACTTCTCAGGAGCCCCCCGCGCCGTCCGAGAGTTTTTTGTTCGCGAGCGAGGGGTGGGAAAATGAGAAGGAGAAGGCCTCCTCGGGAGGCGGCGGGACTTCTCGGGAGCCCTCGCGCCTTCTGAGGGGCCTGTCGTGTCTTCTGGGGAAGGCCCAGGACACTTCTCAGAAGGCCGGGGGACTGCCGAGCCTTGTGGGAAGGCCCGCCCCTTCTCGCTTCCCCCCCTCGCTCGCCGCCGACAAACGATCTCGATACCGCGAGTCACGGACCTCCGTCGGGGCCCAGGGCGCGTCCGGCCCGGGATCTCGAGGCGAATCCAGCGGTGGCGACGACGACGAGAGCCCTCCAGAAGGCCCGTATAATTTTGCATTGTGCAGGCGAACACGAGGCAAAGGTAGCGGATTCGCGGGCTCGTGTAACGTCGACCCCTGCGTTGGTTCCTGACTCCGCGGAGAGATCATTCAACCTTGCACAGCTGGCCGTTTTCGAAACGTCAGATCGTTCAACATCGATCGATTCTGGGTCGCCGGCGGCGTTCAACGTTGAACGCGGGCGACGAGATCGCAGCTGGTCGACAAGACGCGAACCTACCGTACCCAGACATGCGACGTCCTGATTTTGTCCCAACGATCCTGGGGTGTTGGGTCCTCGTTTGAAGAGACGGTCCCCGCGTCTCCTTCCTTCCTCCTCCCCCTCCCCCTCCTCCTCCCCCTCCTCCTTTCTCCTTGCGTTTCACCCACCCAGTACAGCGTTTCGTGGCCACATGGTGAGCTCCACCTAAGGCCCCAGTGGGGGTGGCCACATGCGTCCGCCCAAACCAGTACAGCGTTTCGTGGCCCTACAGGGAGCTCCACCTAAGGCCCCAGTGGGATGGCCACATGCGTCCGCCACACCCAGTACAGCGCTTCGTGGCCCCACAGGGAGCTCCACGCAAGGCCCCAGTGGGGGTGACCACATGCGTCCGCCACACCCAGGACAGCGTTTCGTGGCCCCAAAGGGAGCTCCACCTAAGGCCCCAGTGGGAGTGACCACATGCGTCCGCCACAACGAATACAGCGTTTCGTGGCCCCATGGGTAGCTCCATCTGCGGCCCCAGTGGGGGTGGCCACATGCGTCCGCCACACCCAGTGCAGCGCTTCGTGGCCCCATAGGGAGCTCCATCTGCGGCCCAATGGGGGTGGCCACATGCGCCCGCCACACCCAGTACAACGTCTCGTGGTCCCATTGGGAGCTCCACGCAAGGCCCCAGTGGGGGTGGCCACATGCGTCCGCCACATCCAGTACAGCACATCGTGGCCCAAAAGGGAGCTCCACCTAAGGCCCCAGTGGGGGTGGCCTCATGCGTCCGTCACACCCAATACAGCGTGACGTGGCCCCAAAGGGAGCTCCACCTAAGGCCCCAGTGGGGGTGGCCACATGCGTCCGCCACACCCAATACAGCGTTTCGTGGCCCCACAGGGAGCTCCACGCAAGGCCCCAGTGGGGGTGACCACATGCGTCCGCCACACCCAGGACAGCGTTTCGTGGCCCCAAAGGGAGCTCCACCTAAGGCCCCAGTGGGAGTGACCACATGCGTCCGCCACAACGAATACAGCGTTTCGTGGCCCCACAGGGAGCTCCACGCAAGGCCCCAGTGGGGGTGGCCTCATGCGTCTGCCACACCCAGTACAGCGCTTCCTGTCCCCATGGGGAACTCCATTTGCGGCCCCAGTGGGGGGGCCACATGCGCCTGCCACACAGCAGCGTTTCGTGGCCCATAGGGAGCTCCACCTGCAGCCCCAGTGGGGGTGGCCACATGCGTCAGCCACACCCAGGACAACGTTTCGTGGCCCCATAGGGAGCCCCACCAAAGGCCCCAGTGGTACCGCCCGCATGCGTCGCCCCCACCCATTACGGCACGTCTCTCAGGCGTTTGGTGGCCCCATAGGGAGCTCCACCGAAAGCGGCACCCACAACGCGCTACTCACAACTGCATATGGTTGGGTCCTTCGCCTGGATAATTTCAATACGGCGTCCCTGGAAGTCCCGACCCTCTCCCCGGGACCGGCTCCTCATCCCGAGTCGTTTTTGTTGACTGTCGCGGGGCCCGGCGAGGGCCTCGAGAGGCCGAACACGACGAAAAACTGTCGTCCTGATTTTTCAACGACGCGATCATGTCTGCGTATCAGTATCTTTTCCTTCTCTGAGCTCCACGATGCCGTCGTAGTCGCGCCACTGGGCGTAGAAGTCGTCGCCCGAGCGGGGGTCCCATCGTCGAGGCAGGCCCGCGAGCCGCAGGAGGGCACCAGCGTTGTGGTTCAGCACCTGCCCGGAGCGTGGCGCGCACAGGCGGCGGGAACAAACCCCCTCCTCCTCCCCTTCCGCCTCCTCCTCTTCCTCCTCCTCCTCCTCCTCCTCCTCCTCCTCCTCCTCCTCCTCCTTCTGCTCCTCCTCCTCCTCCTCCTCTTCCTCCTCCTCCTTTTCCTCCTTTTCCTCCTTTTCCTCCTTTTCCTCCTTTTCCTCCTCCTCCTCCTCCTCCTCCTCCTCCTCCTCCTCCTCCTCCACCATCTCCTCCTGGGGCGGAGAGGATGCGACGAGGGGACAGAGGGAGGTGGGGGTGGGGAGAACCATATCCGCATCGGTGGCATCCCAGGCCGAGCCTCTCGACCGCGACGCCACGGATACGAGGCGCCGTTTTGCGGATGCCCAGCGCGAAACACGTGCGTGCGACCGCGTGCCCGCGGGATCGCGCTCTGGAATGCAGCCCGCGAGGGCGTGGATATGGATACGTTCGCCGCTCGTGACAGGGCTCAAACGCACCAGTTTGCCGAGCTGCGTCTAGCCGTGCTGGGGAGGGGCCCCGAATGCCAACTGCCGCTGCCTCAAACCGCCATCCTCTGAGCCCAGACCTCCACTGCCTTAACTTCCTCAGCACGGGGTCCTTGAAGCACCGATCCCTTCCCCAGGACCGGCTCTTCAACGCGAGTCGGTTCTCGAGAGGCTGGAAGCGGCCAAACACCTCCCCTCGTGATGAGTTGTCCCCGACCCGAGCCATGTCTGAGAACCTGCGCCTGCCCGTGCGTGAAGTTGCGGTGCTCTGAGCACACCACGCGCACCTCGGAGCAGTCCCCCCCCAGCCTTGGTGCCGCGCACAGGGGGGGGGGTAGGGGGGACGGGGGGGGCTTCTTAGAAGCACCCCCTGCCTCTTGGAAGTCGCGGGCCTTGTCGGTAGATGCAGGGCCGGGGCCTTCTTCTGAAGAAGAACAGCACCACAAACATAAACTCTTGGCGCTCCGCGCGGATTTCCTTGGATCCGCGCTGGACCCCCCTCGCGGAGCGCCAAAAGTTTCTATTTATGGATTTTCTTCTTCTATTCTAATCGGGGGTGGACAGAACCCCCTATAGTAAAACGTGGTTTAGTGAACGACCTCGGGTCCAAACCTGGCGGGCGCAAGCATGAAAAATGACGGCCGCAATGCCCTCCCGAGACCCGACAACGGACAATTCACCAATCGACGTGTCAGGGTGGGGGTTCTGTCCACCCCCAAGGGAGGAGAGGGAGGAGAGAGATGGGGAGGAGGAGGAGGGGAAGGAGGGGAAGGAGGAGGAAGAGGAGGAGGAAGAGGAGGAGGAGGCGGGAGGAGGAGGAGGAGGAGAAGGAGGATGGGGATGGGGAGGGGGGAGGAGGAGGAGGAAGGAGGAGGAGGATGAGAGTAGGAGGATGAGGAGGAGGAGGAGGAGGAGGAGGAGGAGGAGGAAGGAGGAGGAGGGGAATGAGGAGGAGGACGAGAGGAGGAGAAGGAGGAGGACGAGAAAGAGGGAGGAGGAGAGGAGGAGAGGAGGAGGAGGAGAGAGGAGGAGGAGGAGGAGGAGGAGGAGGAGTAGGAATAAGGGGGAGAGGGAGGTGGGAGGAGGGGGGAGGAGATGAGGAGGAGGAGGAGGAGGAGGAGGAGGAGCTCCCTTCGGAGAAGCCTTCCCCCCTTCCCTACGCCCCCCGTGTGCGCGCCGCCCCCCAGCCGCGTCTCGTCGGCGGGCACGCACGCCGCGGCCTCCAGCTCCCCGTGCAGCAGCCGGCGCTCCGCGCGCCCGCAGGCGGAGACCGACAGCAGGGCGCTCCCGTCGTACCTGGCGTAGGGGTCGGCGGCGGCGGAGGGCTGCGGAGCCTGGGGGGCCAAGAGGTGAGGGGCAACGAGCGGGGGGCCCAGACGTGATCGCGCCGCAGAGGAAGCAGGACGACCAACTTTTTTTCTCGCTTTCGGCCTCTCGAGGCCCTCGCCGGGCCCCGGGGCCGTCTAAGAAAAGAACGACTCGGGAGGAGGAGGAGCCGGTCCCGGGGAGAGGGTCGGGACTTCCGGGGACGCCGCACTGAAAAAACTTGTAGGGCGTGGCATGTCTGGGAAGATGAGGGGCAACGATCGGGGGGAGGGGGAAGCACCGGCCTGGAATCGGCGGGGCATCGCCGCGCTAGATCGGCGACGCGGCCAGCCCCGCAGAGCGAGGGCGCACGGTGAGGATGCAGGGGCCTCGGGAGAGGCCACGCCGACAGCCCGCGAGCGGGGCGCGGCCAGCGCAAGCGGCCAAGGATGGGCCGAACGGGCAAGGATGCGAGGGCAGCCCTCGGCAGGTCGCTGGGCCTCGCCGTGCCGGTCGCTCCTCCCTGCCATGCCCAGACCTCCGACGTCTCGATGTTTCGAGACGCGGGCCCCCGACCTCCCGACCGCTTCCCTGGGACCGGCTTTCCCATCCCGAGTCGTGTTTTGGACGGCCCCGAGGCCCGGCGAGGGCCCCGAGAGGCCGAAAACTATGACAAACCTTTGTCTCGATGTTTTCGAGACGCCCGATGTCTGGGTTTCTCCGAGGAGGAGGAGGAAGGAGGAAGAACGGGAGGAGGAGGAGGAGGAGGAGGAGGAGGAGGAGGAGGAGGAGGAGGAGGAGGAGGAGGAGGAGGAGGAGGAGGAGGAGGAGGACCAGGAGTGAGGCGGAGGAGGAGGAGGAAGGAGGAGGAGGAGGAGAGGAGGAGATGAGGAGGAGGAGGAGGAGGACGTCCTGTCGCAGGGCGCGGGAGCCCGGGGAGGCTTCTGTGGTCTTTGGCGGCTGCGCTCTGTCCCGGCCGGCGGCTTCGTCCACCCTCGGCACCCGAGGGCCCTCACGGATCGCCGCGCCATAGGGGGCCCACCTGCGAAACCCAGACCCCCTCGAGTGATGAAAAAATCACGACGGGAGGTTTTTCCTAATTTTCGGCCTCCGGCGGCCCTCACCGGGCCTCGGGAGCGTCAAAAAACGACTCAGGACGCAAAGCCGGTCATGGGGAAAGGGTCGGGACCTCTGGGGGTCGACGTAATGAAAAAAATCATTACGTCGGGGGTCTGGGGGTAAGGGTGGGGGTTCACTTCGTTCGGGAGCTCCCGAGCGAAGTGAACCCCACCCTCCCCCTCAGAAGTCGTGGGGGGTAGGGGCAGGGTTCGCATGTGGCCCCCCAGGCGGCTCGAGCAGCGGCGCGGAAGGATGAGGTCCGGGGCTCCGGTCGCGGTTTTCTGCGATGCTGCCTCTTCGGTGGCAGCGTCGGGTCTCGTGGGGACCAGAAGACACGGATGTCGGCTGCTGGACAACACCTGCTGGCGAAGGCGGCTCTCCCCCGCGACGCCGGGACCGCCCCGGGGCGAGGGGTCGAGGGCGGGAGAGAGAGGACGAGGCCAGTCGACCAAGACCGCAGAACCCGCAGCTTGTTGAAGGGCAGCGGTAGGGGGGAACTGGCATCGGGGGGGATCGACCTTTGCGATGCATCGCCGATAGATCGGCGGTAGGCCCCCGACAGTGGATCCCAACGTTCCTGGGCGGGCTGGGGCTATGTGGCCCCTAGCGGCGGTGAGTGGAAGATTGCAGAGGGTAAAAAATCCACCCCAATATTAATCACCCCGACAAGCGAAGCCGTTTAGTAAACGCACAATGGCAAGGAATCGAACAGGGCAGGGCTTCTAGTAAACGCCCAGCGCCGTTGAGTAAACGCCAGTTGTCCGGTCCAGGTGGTTTTCCTCCCTTGAGATTGGGGGTCGATGCAGCCCCGCCTGTGCCTATTCCCCCCCCCCGATCGCTGCCTCCGAAAAAAGAGATGGGGGTCGGCTGCACGCAAGAGTCGGCGGCGAGCGAGGGGGGAAGTGAGAAGGAGAAGGCCTTCTCAGAAGGCTCGGGAATCCCCTGGCCTTCTGAAAAGTGTTCTGAGCCTTCCCCGAGCACGCAACAAAAAACTCTCGGAAGGCGCGGGGGGCTCCTGAGAAGTCCCGCCGCCTCCTGAGAAGGCCTTTTCCTTCTCGCTTCCCCCCCCCTCGCTCGCCGCCGAAGTTGGCTTGAGGGTCGTAAGTCGGGTCTCCAGCGGCCGTTCGGGACGATCCGGGCACCCCCGGAACGCCCTCGGCGAGGCGCAGCTGCTGGCAAGCATCCCGAGGCCGGAAAACCGCCGAGAACCGACGAAAACGTCCGACAACCTCGAACCTCGAGCCTCGAGCCCGAAACTCCCCTCGCTCGCCGCCGACAGAGCGGCCTGAGGCCAGGGTGGACCCTTCGGGGCGCGGCCTGCCGGCCGCTGCGATGCCGCGCGACAGATGGCGGCCTGCGTGCCCCGGGCTCGGCCCGACCCACCCGCGCGCCCCGACAGCCGTGCACCAGAGGGGGGGGGAGGGAGCGAGGAGGGAGCGAGGAGGGAGCGAGGAGGGAGCGAGGAGGAGGAGGAGGAGGAGGGAGCGAGGAGGAGGAGGAGGAGCAAGGAGGAGGGGGAGGAGGAGGAGGAGGAGGAGGGAGCGAGGAGGAGGAGGAGCAAGGAGGAGGGGGAGGAGGGGGGGAAGGAGGGGAGGGAGCGAGGTAGAGCCGAGAGAGGTAGCATGAGAGGGAGGAGGAGAGAGTAGGGAAGGAGGAGGGCGAGAGGGAGGAGGAAGAAGAGAGGAGGAGGAAGGAAGGAGTAGGATGGAGGAAGGAGGAAGGATTGGGGGGAGGAGCGAGGAGGAGGAGGAGGATGGAGGGAGGACGGAGGAGGAGGAGAAGAGAGTATCGTAGGAGGCGGGGGGAGGAGGAGGAGCAGGGGAGGAGAGCGAGGAGGAGGAAGTGAGGGGGGAGGAGATGGCGGAGTGGAGCAAGGCAGGCGGTAGGAAGGATCAGGGAGATTAGGTTGATTAGTAACAAGATATGGGGGGGCCACGGAGCAGGGGAAGATGAGGGAGGAGGAGGAGGAGGACGAGAAGAGGCCCCCGACGCCGAAATCCAGGAGAAGCCGCTGGCCTGCAAAAATCCGATCCTCGGATCTCTGGGGGCTGCGCCCTGGCGGGCGCATGCGTCCGTGGCGACGAGGGCCTCCCAGGAGGCCCGCGAAGGCGATCCGACAGGGAAGGGTCGCGGTAGCGGTATACAGTCGGGGCGTTGACCTAAGGAACCCTCGATAAGGAACGAGGACCCCCTTTTCCATAAGTGAAATCTCGATTCCCCATACAAAGACCTAAGGGAAACCCAAGGCAAACTGTGCAGCAATCAAGGAACATGGAGCCCCTCTCCACCGAAAAGGGTTCCTTCTTCAGGGCCCCGACTGTACTCCAGATTTCGTAATAAAAGGGAGGGGGGTCTCATTTCGGGGGGGGGGGGGTCTTTTCCAAGCTGTCTTGGAGGGCCTGGGGGGGTCTGGGGACGCTGTTTTGGAGGGTTCTCCCAGGGGGGGGGGGTCTAAAACTTCTCGTCTGGGAGGGTTGAGACCCCCCTGCCTTTTATAGCGAAACCTGGAGCATTTCTTCGTCCTCCCGTGAGAGCCGGCGACGCCCAGCAGCGCCCACAGGCCGCGATCCGCCGTGCCCCTTGTGGGGGGCCTCTCCACGGCGCGCGAGCGCGCCGCCCCTCCCCGCGCCCCGCGCCCCCGGACTCCCCGCACGTCGCTCCCGTCGTGCTCGAGTTTGGACACCCGGAATGGGCACCGCAAGAATCGGGTCGGGCGAAAGGGGGGGATAGCAAAGGGGGGGTTTGAGAATCAGCTCGCGTAGCTGATTTTCCCGGCGCCTCCCGGCGCCGGAGGCGACCATGGTAAGGTAGATGGTCGCCCCTTCGTGAGCATCGGCCGAAACCAGCTGCATCGCAATTTCGTTTACCCCCCCTTTCCCAATCCCCCCCTTTCGCCCGACCCGAAAGAATGGGCACAGTGCCCAACAGCACATGTTGTCCCAGACCAGCAGCGGCCGCTATAGGAACAAGGGGCACGACAGGACCCGCTCCGAAGCTCGACGCGAGCTTCCGCTGCAGGCATCCCACGACACCTGGACAGTCAGAATCTGGGGCGGGCTCGTCAAAAAGCGTAGGCGAACCCGAGGTCCCGAAACCACCTTGACTTGAATTTGGACGCCCGAAATGGGCACGGAAAAGATGGGCACAATGCCCAACAGCAAATGTTGTCCCAAACCAACAGCGGCCGCTGTTGGGCAGGCGGCCTTCTGTCTCGAATGGACACAGGCCGCGGCGGCGCGGACAGCGAGTCCTGTTCAAAATGAGCAGGAACTGCTGTTGGGCATCGTACCCATTCTTTCCGTGCCCATCTCGTTCGTGCAGATTGAGGACCACGTCCCAGAAGTACTCTCGAGCACCCGGACGAGTCTCGAAACAGTGTCGAACGAGTATCGCCTCCCAGGGCCCGTCGAGTTTCGGCACTCTCTATAGGTGCTCGAAAGTCTTTCTGGCGGTCAAGGCTGAAGTTAGGTTGGAATTGGAACATCATAACCCCAGACCGCCCCTCGCGCTGTGAGAAAATCACGACGGGAAGTTTTTCGCTATTTTCGACCCCTGCCAGGGGCCCTTCCCGGGCCTCGGGACCGTCAACAAAAACAACTCGGGAGGAAAAAATTGTCCTTGGTGAAGGGGTCCAGACCTTTGGGGTCGACGCTGGGAACAAAATCACGGCGTCGGGGGTCTGGGCCTGGAGCCCTGTGCGGCAAATCTGGCCAGGGGGGCGGTCCCGCTGAACCCAGCCGGACCGCCCAGAGGGTTGTGGATGCCATGACAATGGACACCCTCACAATCCTACCATTAAACGAAAATGTGTTTGAAATGTTCTTAAGCTGTCCAAAACATGTGTTTTACATGTTTAAGACATGATACCAAAGAGAAAACCCAATCAAAGCTATAGGGCTATAGGGCTGTAGGGCTATTGGGCTATAGGGCTATAGGGCACCCCCGGGCACCCGGGCACCCCGGGGCACGCCCGGGCACCCGGGCACCCGGGCACCCCCGGGCACCCGGGCGTGCAGCAAAAATCGGCGGCAAACCTAACCTAACCACATGAATCCGCTAGGACCCCTACAGAGGCAAGCTCTGATTGGGGAATGTTTACAAAACATGCTTTAGACATCTGGAAATGATGTGGCAACGCGCTTCCTCTCCATGGACCGTCGTCCACAACCAGGGGGGTCAACTGCTCCAAGGGCTGCGCCAGAAGCGATCCGTGGCCTCCTCTCGAGCCTGGCTCGGATCGACCTCCTGCGCTCTTCCCTCCTGGCGGGATTCCAACAACGGCCCAAGCTCCCCTGACTTCGGGTCCTTAGTGGGCCCTGGAAACGACAGGGCCGTTTTTTACCGGTTCCGTTGTGCCGTTCTTTTACCGGTTCCGACGCCGGTTTTTTACCGGTTCCGTCGACGTTTTTTGACCGGTTCCGGCTCCGGTTCCAATCCTGGAGCAGTTTTTTTGCCGTTTCTGGTCGCCGGTTTTTGCCGTTTCCATTTTCAAGGGACATTTTTGGGGAAACGGTGAAAAAACGGCCCTGCCGTTTCCGGGGCCCACAAAGTTCGGGTCCGCCGTACCCTGACTCCAGATCCGCCCTACTTTGGCTTCTTTTTAACTTACAATTGCATTGGGAATCCACCTATAAGAAGCCGAAAAAGTAGGGCGGAAATTTCTGCACCCAACATAAAGTAAGGCGGAACTCCACATGAGTAGGACGGAAACAGCAACAGAAAAGTAGGGCGGAAACTGGCATCTGCGGGGCCTGAAAAGTGAGTCGAAAATTCCAAGCCCTACTCGCGAATTTCCCCAAAGTAGGGCGGATCTGGAGTCAGGGTACTTTGGGCGATTTCGCTAGTTTTTGCAAGAATTCCCGCCGTACCTCTCTCAAGCTCCTTTGGTGCTGCTTTGCCGCCGCTGCTTCCACCACACCTGTGCGGACATATCCGCCCTGCTGGTCTGAAGCGGAAGCTTTCACCACACTTGCTCGCACCGTTCGAGGTGCATTTCCAACACCCCCCAGAGTTTGGGCCCTGGACGATGCCCAAGAGAACCCGAAGGCGGCCTCGAGAGGCCCCCGAGAAGGCCTCCGACGGAGCTAGACGGCGCAAGAGCGCCCCAAGACGGCCCAAGACGCCCACAAGAGGCCCCCAAGAAGCCTCCAAGAGACCCCCAAGAAGCCTCCAAGAGGCCCCCATGAGGCTCCCAGGCGTCCCCACAATGACTGGACTGAATGCGGTCCGGACGTGCACCCCGCGGGGCGAGGGGAATCCCTGAGACGTTTCCTGACCGTTCCGGGGCCCGTGGAGGGCCCCAGGAGGCCCAAAACGGCGAGAAACCTCACGACCCGTTTCCCTCAGGAACCGTTTCCTTTGACAGGGGATATGTCGAGCCCTCCTATCCTAGGATTCGTGGGTTTTCGAGAGGATAAAATATATGGGGGCCCAACTCTGGGATACAGGACAGGGGGGCGCGCACCCTCGATGGGATCCTATCCCAGGGGTTCCCCCTGGAGCGTATCCCAAGGGTTCTCCCTTCTTCCTGAGCGGCCAAGCTTTTCTAGCGGAGCTCCGGGACTGGGGGAGCAAAAATCGCCTGCGATCCTTTAGGGCGAGCCTGGGAAAAAACCAAAAGGTACCCATACCGCTACCCCCCGACCTCTGGCGGGGTGCGTGTTCTGACCAGCATTTCGAGGCGAATCCGGCGGTGGCGACGAGGGCCTCCCAAGAGGCCCAAAGAAGGGGAAAACGGGCGAAGGGCAGCGGTATCACTACCTTTTCCAGATTCCAGACATGCGACGCACGTTTTTTTAGGACGGCGTCCCCAGAAGTTCCGACCCTTTCCCCGGGGCCGGTTTGTCATCCTGAGTCGTTTTTTGACGGTCCCGGGGCCCGGCGAGGGCCTCGAGAGGCCGAAAACGGCGAAAAACCTTCGTCCTGCATTCTGCTACGACGCGGTCGTGCCTGGGCTTCCTCCTCCGGGAGCCGGGTGCGGCGTCAGCCTCAGGATCAGTGCAGGCCGAAGCCACCGCGCCAGGCGTGCACGGAGGCCGCCGCTGGGGCCGCCGCTCATGTGCCCATGGGCCCCCGCCGCGACCCCCTCGGGGGAGGTCGCCGCGGAGCCCGCGCGTGCTCGCAGCTGCAGCGCGCGCGCGGGGGGGCGGGAGGGACTTGGGCCGAAGCGGCTGCAGGGGCGGAGGAGGCGAGGGAGGAGGGCAGAGGGGGACGAGGAGCCACGTGCACGGGGAGGAGGAGGAGGAGGAGGATAGATTATGCGAGGAGGAGGAGATGAGGGGAGGAGGAGGAGGAGGGAGGAGGAGGAGGAAGAGTAGGAGGAGAGGAGGAGGGGATGTAGATGAGGAGGAGAGAGAGAACACATGAACCAAGAGAAACAACGACGTGCTTTCTCGTGCGCTGGGAGAGCCCAGCCGGAAGAGGAGGGTACACGTGGTCCTCCTCCTCCTCTCCTCCTCCTCCTCCTCCTCCTCCTCCTCTCCTCCTCCTCCCTCTCCTCCTCCTCCTCCTCCTCCTCCTCCTCCTCCTCCTCCTCCTCCTCCTCACTCCCTTTCCTCCGCCTCTCCTCCTCCTCCTCCTTCCTCCTCCTCCTCCTCCTCCTCCTCCTCCTCCTCCTCCTCCTCCTCCTCCTCCTCCTCCTCCTCCTCCGGGGGAGCGGGGTGCGGAACCAAGAGCTGCGCCGAACGACCTCCCCTGCCGTCTGCTCCCGGCGCTCGAGGGGAAGCCCTCTCTCTGGGGTCCCAGGGCCAGGGCCCGCCACACGCCCTGCCGAGTGACATCGCACGCCGCGGTCGCACTGGGCTCCGTGGGGGGCGGAGAGAGAAAGAGAGAGAGAGAGAGAGAGAGCGAGAGAGAGAGAGAGAGAGAAAACAGAGAGAGAGAGGGAGAAAGAGAAAGGGAGATAGAGAGAGATAGAGAGAGAGAGCGAGAGAGAGAGAGAGAGAGAGAACAGAGGGAGAAAGAGAAAGGGAGATTGAGAGAGAGAGAGAAAGAGAGAGTGAGAGAGAGAGAGAGACGAAACAAAACAGACAAGCACGCTCCTTCTCTGCACCATGAGGCGCCGCTGGCCTCGAAGGAGGCCCTGGTGCCCCGAGAATGGCTTGCACTGCGTGGAGGACCGAGTGGGACGAGAATCCGTGACACCCGCTTCGTTTCAAACGCTCTCCCCGCCTCATCCCCACCCCGCCCTCCCCTGTGAATCCCCTTATGTACTTACACGTGCCACGTGGTTACCCATAGACGCTCTGTGCCGATGTCAGGGCTGCCGCAGGTTCCGATGCTCCTGGCTCTACCTCCTGCTCAAACGCTCTTGCGCCCATCTACCCGCTACGGGCCTGACATCATCCCAAAGAGCCGGTCGACGATCACACTTCCTTCAAAGGGTTGGACCCCTGAACCCCAAGGCCTTCTTAACGCTCGCAAGCCCAAACCACTAACCACATACTGTGCGCCATCTGCACTTGCTGTTGAACATCACAAATCAATTGCATGTCACACCGCAAATATACCTACACTGTTGGCGATCATTCTGGCATTCTCACCCACTCTAACTGAGTGCTCCTCTATTATGGTCAGCCCTCTTCTCATCCGTTATAGCGCTATCATGTTGGAATCACTCCTTCTTTCAGGCTGGGGTAGACGGCATCTGGCCAGTAGCGCTTTCCCTGCGGTGCGGCGCATATCGAGCGCACTCTCCAGTGCAAATGCTACCATGTGGTGACTGGGCCAGATCCTGCCCTAGCAATTTCCCTGGGAAAGGACATGAATGTGTATTGCAAGTGCGTGTTGCAACACTCCCCGTCAAACAATACTGTGCGGGCTACACACGTGCGCAAATGCAAGATCACAACTCTATCGTA